GTTTTAGTTTTACATGCTAGAAGACTTCTGCAATAAAAGGATATATTGAAATTTTTCATATTGCCTTCCAATTTTGCGTGCTTTTCTACTTTTTCCTTGGTAGAGCCCTGTAAGTTCGCCAACTATGTTCCTTATAATAAGTTTGTTCCTGCGTACGTGTTACAATAGGAAGCTTTTTTTGTTAGTAATGTGCAGATGACATACAGTTATGCTTCGTTTGATGCGTTTTTGGTTTAAACTTTTGTTTATTTTTTTAGAAACAACCAGCCGTTTTCCTGGGTGTTTTATACTTCTTGTTCATGCTTAAGCCTTGTAAGTGTATTATTTATGAATTTTTAAGTCGTCTTTTTGGATTAGGAAACGTAGAAGTGTGTTATGTTTCTATAGAGCAGGGATTTTGGCTTTGAAATTTCTTTCTATAAGCTCTTTTTTAAATTGTCGTTTTGTTCTCTGCGGAACGTCTCATTGTTTTTTTTTCTCACTCAGTAGTTGGGAGCTCTAGTGTCGGTTCTGTGGTTTCTCACTTTTTCCTTTTATGAAGACTGGACCGTTACTGTTATATTTCTTTTTCTTCCTTTTACTTCTTGTTATTTACCTACAGTTGTTGATGTTTATGCGGTATCGATGTGTTTTAAACCTGCTACTTCCAGGTTATGAAAACTTTGGAAAGAGCGGTCGAAGACCTTCAAAACGATTTGAAAAGTGCAAGTGATGAAAGTGGGAGACGGCAGTTAGAGCTTGAAAACGTGGAAAAAAATCTCGCTTCTTCTCGGGAACAGAATAGTTTTCTTAGTGAACGTAATATGAAACTTGTTAAAAAGTGTGAAGATTTGGCTGCTGAAAACAAGGCTATTTTAAGCAGGCTAGTCTTCCTAAGTCTTTCAGTTTTTACGTATGTTTTTGTTGTTATTTTTTTATTTTTAGGCGAGATGAGTCGGCAAGGGAACTCGCAGAAGTGCGACCGCGCATTGAGGCGCTGCAGGCTGATCTTCGTTTGAGGGCTGAGGAAAATCGGTTTGTTGTTTCATGCGGTTCCTTAGTAAGTGTACTTCATCCTTTACATTCAAGTGGTGAACTAAACTGATTGTTGCTAGATCATTTATTTGTAGTAGCTTTTTCACTTCTTATCCCTACCTGTTTAATGTCATTTTACTCATCACTTGTTTTCAGAAAGCTGAGTGTTGAAATTCGTAGCTTTGAAGACAAAGAACGAGTATGGAAAAAAGTACTGTTTTTTTTTATGGCTGTGTTTGGATACATTATTTATTTTTTTTATTCAAATTTCCTCAATAAGAAGGTATCCTTTGTACTTCCTCGTACTGATATTTAGGAACTGGATAACTTACTCTTCTAAGTGCATCAATACTGCGTAAAGACCTGTCTTAGTAAAAATTTGTCGAATCACGGAAATACTTTTATAATTTTTCTACAATAAGTGGTACATAATTTTTAATGATCTAGGTCGCTTTATGTGTGAAAATGGTTGCTCTAGTAGGTTTTAATTTTTTAGAATGGTAACTTCATTTGGCTAATTTTTGTTGACTCTTAATTTTGATGGGAGAGAACTTTGGTTTGAATAAATTTGAGATAAACTTGAAATAGCTTTTTGGTTTCTTTGGTTTTGTCTCAAATTACTGTGCGATTCCAGGACATAAAAAGTCGTGAATTTTTGTAAAATTGGTTTGGCCTTCTGAATAATGCGAGTTGGAGCGTGTAGTTGTTATGTTGATTCTTTATTCTTTGTGCTTTTGCTTCTACTGGACTGCATAATCTAGGAGAAGACCGACTTGGAAAAAAGAATTGAAATCAAAGATGCTGTTGCCACTGCAGAAAGAAAAAATAATGACGAATGGAAAAGAAAGCACCTAGCAGAAAAGGCGGAACTTGAAAGGAAAGTCAAATTAGCAGAACCTGATATCAATAGAGCTCTTGATGCGGTTAGTTTACTTTAGTCCTAACTGCGTAATAGTGTAAATACTATTTTCCTAAAAGTATGAAGTCAGAGGAAAGTTTTACGGCTCAGAATTAGGAAATTGGGGTTTTTTCTTTATTTTTATCGAGCATTTGGTATAGTGACTTCAGTTAGCGAAACATTATATTACCATCCTGATAAAACCTCTACGTTCCTTCCTGTGTATACCTATTATAAAAGCAGAATTGAATAATTGAGGTTGAATAGAATGGCGATTCTTTTTTTTTTGTTTTAGTCTAAATAGTTTCATTTTCCTGCAATTGAGCCATTAAAAGTTCTTCGTTTGCTGCGCGTTAGTTTTTAGCGAGTTGTACGTTTCTCGTTTGCCAAGTTTGATCAGCAAATGAATTAGTTCTTTTTGGTCCTCTTAATGGCGTGTTTAAGATATTTTTGGGTAAACAATTATTCAGATCTGATTCCTTTCCTTCGGGTAAAATCTGGGTTAAATTTGGTTATATCAGTTTTCCAACAACGCTCTTACAGGAGTCTATAAAGAAAGCAATAGAGGATGTACGAGCTTTTTATGAGCAGAAGTTGTCTTATATGCTTAACGAGTTGGAAACATTGAAAAAGAAGAGTTCACTGAAAGAAACGGGTTTTTCTTCCGCTAATTCTAGTAATGAGCGGTTGGAACTAGAAAAAAGTGGTCGCTCAGAACTTGAGTACAGATCTAGCTCAGCACCCCCAGCTTCTATATCAAATGGTCTTCTTTCGTCGTCTGAAAATTAGGTATATAGAGTTAATGCTTGGCATCATGTCAAAAATTTCCAGTTTAGGAGTTTTATGGTTAGATATACAAACTTACAATGTTCAAACAGTATTTAGCTGTTTCCAACTTCGTGCTTTCTTGAAATGACAGTATTCCAGTCTAAGGTTAAGGATTCATTTATTTAATAATTATATCTGTCGTTGTAAATACATGTTGCCAAGGTTTACACTTATTGTTCATATCTGGGTAAGTTGTACTTTCCGAGTCGTGTTGTTAGAAATATATTTAAGTAACTGTTGATGCTGGTTGTTGTGGCTCAGAAGTACTTAAATTTTTCAGCAGCGTATTAAAGAATTCTATCAGATTTTTGTTTTATCTCTCTGGTGATTTGATTCTAACGAAGAGTACTTATGAGGCACAGCAGTTTCAAATTGATATGCAAGTACATAACGTTTAAAATGTTTCTTTTTTTTTTTTGGTATCGCTTCGCTAACTTTGTTTTGGTTAGTGATACACTGTCTCTCTTACCGGTTATAACTTATCAGACAAGTCGGTTTCGTTGCATAGTTATGAGAATTTTGTTGCTGCTAGTAACCTTTATGAATTTATCTTCTAAATTAGATGGCTTTGCTTTCACGATAGATGGCCTAAAAGTCCGTGTATTTGAGAAAGTTGAATTTTCTTTTAGAACTGCTTTTTTGGAATTACTCTTTGGAAGTGATTTGGCCTAAATTGAGTTGTTGTTAAAAAGAACGGAACCCAGGTATGTTTTTTTGTTCCGCGTTGTTGAGTGTACACAAAATGTTTAATATCTTGGGTTGAATGTTCATAGGTTAAGCTCTATAATTGTCATTATGTATACTCTCATCGAACCTGAAACGCTACTTCTCATGCCTTCATCGTTGTTAAAAGTGACGGGTTTTCGTGTTTCACCTCATCCGGCCGGTGATTTCACGTTGTTCTCACTGCGAAGTATTTATCTCTCCATTTCTTTTTTTTTCCTTTTTGCATTTTTGAGTGAAGATCTTCGTTTCGTCTCATGATTTGTAATTTTTTGTTTATTACTAAATGTTTTTAGTAATTTTTGTGCAAAAGTGTTCCAGTTTCACTGTTTTTATGGGAACTAAAATTACAAGCATAAAATTATACCATCATTTCGTTGTTACTACAAAACTAAATCCATTACTCCTTGAGCCCATTACTGGGTCAAAATGGAGTGTTGAGAAGTTTAGTCATTCACTACTTGCTGCACTTTCTAAATTTGCATTTTAAAACATCGCAGCTTAAATTAGAGCATAAATTGCCCACTTTTCTTTGCGTGCGCTAGGTAATAAGCAGTGTTATTGGGACCTCAAAACAAGGAATCAGCATAATAGACTTCGCCATTCGCTTAAAAGATGATAAACAGCGTTTATCAAATACAGCACTCCGAAGCGATCATTTCTACAATCGCTTTGGTAGTTTGTTCTTAATTCCTGTAGGAAAAGCGTATTTTCCGTGATCTATGAAAAGGCGAGGTGGAAGCAAGCCTCGTAATTCTTATAGGCTGAAGGAAGTGACATACCGTGCAAGGTAGAGTGGCCTTGCGTCCAAATACGAACTGCGCTTTTGACTGCTAGTATAAGTCGGGGCAGGGAAGGAGTGCTGCGTAAAAAAGGAAGTGTCTGAGATGTCCTGCGATAGCAACGCAACCAAAGAGTGAACTTCGTAGCCAGATATCATGTTCAGTGTCCAAAATCTACGAGGAGTACGTTGTCACGGTATGATGGACATGAGTATCTCAAGCCCACTATTTCCGAGCAACGGACTAAACGAGTTTTGTTTGTTGAGTCGTAGCCACCAAACTTCTTGTCTTGGCAGCTCAAAGTTGGAACGCCTTCCCTTCAAACCGTTGGACGTCTTGCGACGACACCATGGTATAGCGTAGCACTGTGTAAGATTCCTCACCATAAAAATTCTTTGAATGTTAAAAAAAAATTTGCGAAAAGCCTGAAAATGTCTAGGAGATTTATTAGACAAAACAGTGAAGCAAACACCGAAATATACAGGGATAAATTCAAAAATTAGAGTAACAAGAGGAGACGATGCCATATTGATCTGGCAATCCACTCAAAAGAGCAGGGCTAAATTTTTCTCTTATAATCATAATGAAGTCTTTTTCCTTCTTTTTTTGGACAGTACAGTCGGACCTAGAAAATAACAATATCGAAGCTGAGGAAAATAACCACAAAAAAAGGAAAAAAAACAATTTGCTATTATTCAACATTTCCAAACTAAGCATTTCGCAAGAGGCATAAGAAAAAGAATGAACGGAAAGAGCAATCAGCACAAAAGCAATTGCAAGAAGAAAACAATGGCGCTTCTACTCTGATGAACCTAAGTAGACTATATATCTGCTAGTTTCAAAAACAATCTGCACAAACCAAGAAACGTTTTTAATGTTTGGGAACCTACCCAGGTTCCGAGTGGACCTGTTTAAGTAATCTCTACCACCCAGGGTTAAAGCAACTGAGCAAGTCCCCATGTGACGGCAAATAATATGAACTGCTGGATAAAATTCCAGCACTCCAATAGTGGTTTAAAAACCTCGTAAGCTACACAAACGATTACAAATAAAAATTAAGTGGAAAGAGCAATCGTTAGAAAACAACATTATTAAAGTGCTAACAATAAATATAAACCCCTTATCCTTTATAATAAATAACTTCTCAACAATGACCTTACTCGGTATTGTAAGAAAACTGACCGCATGTCATTAATGAAGCAAATTCTCAAGTAAAGTTATAAAGGAACTGTTATTATATTGTTAGGAATCGGATAAAGGTTGAAAACTCTCAACTTCTCTTTGAAAAACTTGTACTGTGATAAATTTCCAAACGAACGTCATGCAATAAAATTATGCGCTCATTGAATAAGATGGTCTTGCAACACTGTATAACGAGTTCAAATGAGATGGAAAAATAAACTTAAGTCCACGAAATTGATAGTATACCCTAGGTTTTGGCAAGAACAGTCTTGTAAAACCATTTTTAAAAATTTCACCTTTCGTACAATTTTTGCCTAAGGTTAATGCTACTTCGCGAGGAATAAGCGAAAAGTGGTTTTACAAGATGTCTTTGACTCCACTTTCTTAAAAAACGATGAACGAAATCACAGCTTCTTGACAGCCGCCGTACTCGTTCCACTTCCCAGTCTGAAAAACATTTTCTCTCAAGTAGCTTGAACAACCAATATTTCATCTGAAGAGCCAAATAAGTAATTCATACTTACTTCAATACGACGTCGCTTAGTTCAAGGCAGTTATCAAATAAATTTTTCTAAACAAGGGATCGCAGAGAAATGCCAAAGAGAAACTGTACCAAAAATCTAACATTACTTATTCGTTCTGAAGGTTTTTATAAATACAACCAAAAATTCTCAGAAATCTTTAAAGCGACGAGTTGCTTTATGAATATAATATGTTTTATATTTCATAGCGCTTGAAATGAAAACTGAAACCTAAGGAGACACAAAAACCGATAATGAAAATACCACATAAGACAAAGTTAAAAATAGAAATAAAGGACTATATATGAAGACCATTAGAGAACAGGATAAATGAGAAGTCACAAGACGCCTAAAAAGTTTTAACTCAAGAATTGACGCACCACTAAAACCACAAAGCCGCACCAGTGAAATTAATGACACCTGAACGCGACTAAAAAAACTACCATTCTTGAGAAGTGAATTACCTATTCTGAACTAGTTTTGCTAAGGATACCTTTTGGCAGAATTGGGAGACCTGTCACCGAATCCACTGGTTAAATTTGAGCCATCCTTCCTAACAACAAAGGTTGTCAACGGAGTCTTGCTCAATATATGTGGGTCTTTGTCTTTGGGAGGATCAACCTCTAAAACTGACAGCCGCTTCCACAACTCCTCACGATCTTTCTCCTTCTTCTTCTCTCTGGAAATAGAAAAGGAAGCTGCAAGTTACGCTTGCATGGTACGTATTTAGCCTTGAGACTTTAAAAATGCCCTTCTGTAACCGAAAACTGAAAGTAATTCGAAGTATTCTTAGTTCTAGAGGAACTGCTATAAAAAGGTCCAAAAGAAGTCCGCACTAAACGAAAGCTAGTGCAGTTTTTCAATGGAACTACTTATTTTTTTAACGTATTTAAAATTGAACAAGTAAAAGTAAATAGTCTTGCACGTTAGATAAATGAACTAGCAAAAAAAAAAATTCACATACTTTTGACGCTCCATTTTATAATTCGCTGTGAGCTCATCAAAGAGCTTGCCATTCATTTCCATAAAAGTTTTTAAAACGTTATAAACGAGTGCTACAATAGTTTGATTCCAATGCTCCTTACTAATTCTGTATAGTGCAGGAAACATAATAGGCATTACCTTTAAAATACAAAAATTGAACTGCATAATTTTGTATATAAATGAAATTCAAGAAAACGTTTGAAGGAATTAACGACAAACCAGATAAACAACATTAACAAGCCCTCAATTAAGTACAAGGAAGTTGCTAAAAGACACCTGTGCGCTAGTTTCCTCGATTAACGAGAGAATATACTCGTTGTTCCAAAAGTAAAGAGCCCGCTCAGCCACCTGAAATAAGTAAAAGTTACTAATGAATCACCCCAACTGTCACGTCTTGCAAAACAAAGAACTTATCAGCATCTCAACCGGCACACGTAAAATGTTATAGAAAAAATAAAAAAAAAGCCACCTGAAAGTGCGGACTTGAGACACACTTTGCTAATTGTTTAAACAAAGGATCTATAATTTTTTTGAACTGTTCTGGTTCGATAATGTCTAAAATTTCTTCAACTTCGCCAAGGAACATAACCTAAACAAAAAACATTAAACGATTTATAAGTGCAATAGAGCCGTATAATATCAAAAGTATAATAAAACTACCCAACTAAATACCAAATAAGCAATACCGTCAGAAATACAGTCATTAAAATAACACTTATAATATTTGGCACAAAAACATAAAGAAATGGATATTCGGAGCTACTAAAATAAAATAAAAAAAGCTTTTTCATCGCTGATGAGGGGAGGAAAATGAAACAAATAATCAGAAATCAGGCACGGAAAAGGTACTACTGATAAACAAAACAAAACTATTTTTCATATTGAATCTTTTACCAAATCTTGAAGTAGTAGGAGTAGCGGAACAACCACTAGTGAAAAACCATTAATTTTACCAACAGTAATAAAATAATCCGAAGAAGCTGCTAGTTCAACTTTCTTATAATACATATTAAAGTGGAAAAGAAGAGCTGTCAAAGAAATGAAACTCCGAAGTGAAGATGTCTTAAAGAACAAACCTCTTTCGAGCTACAAGTGCGCGGCCAAAACTTTAACAGCGCGTCGAAAACTTGTGGTGTAAGCGTCGAATCTTTTTCAATAAACTGTACAACACAATACGCCAGCTGAATAAGTCAAAGAAAATATGTTATTCCGATAGGTTCATAGAAACCATAAAAGTTAAAAAATGGATCGAATACTCATAAAAAATATAAAAAGGTACACAACTAGGCAACAGCAACTGCTTTCCAATCTTAATAAGTGGATTTTACTATATACCAAAAAAACTTCGCGGCAAAAGAATTTCAACGTATTGTATTAATTACAGAATTCTACCATAAAATTTTATATGTGACGCTGAAAAGAAAGCTAAATTCTTTTCATAAAACTTAAATAGATATCCCATACCATCTATAAAATGATACTTCTTAACTAAGTACAAAAAAAACTCTAGTTTCTTATGAGGAGACTTTTTTGGTTTCTTAACCACAATGTTTTGTTGTTAGGTAAGGTGTCCATCCTAGTTCTCCAGTCCTAAAAAAAGTATAAATAAAAAACCCAGATGCTGAAAAAATAAAGCAACCTGTGCATGATACAGATTGAGGCACCGCGGTTTGTGGAGAGGCAGAAGCACCTTCACGAGAAACACTTTATGTTCCTGTTTCAGAGGTAACGCGAATCCGTTAATGATACTGAAATTTTCACATACTGTTTAATATTAGAGTGAAGAAATATTACAAACCGCATGTATAAACTTGCCATGTGCTGTAGCCAATAAAGCGGATAAACAAACCTTCCCAAAATTTCAAGTAATTCGCCAACTCCGTTGAACGAATCTGTTTCAAAAACAAATCTGGAAAAAAAAAAGAAAGATATTTAGACGAAAGCTAAGGTGCAAAAGATCCAAGCGAAAAAGAAATATGTTTCAGCAAAAAAATAGTGTAGGTAAACAGCTTAAACAGGTAAAACCTACGAAAGAAACATATTGTTTATTTGTTTCCTGATAAACGCTCGAAGACCAAGAAATTTTCCATAAATTCTATGAAGCACAGTCTTCAAAAAATCTCGTTCTCGAGGATCTTCCGAATCGAACAATTCTAATAGCTAAAAACATACATAAACAACAACGAGTAAATTTTAAGTAAAAATAGGCGTCGGTAAATAAATGACAAGAGCTAAATACATTTTATACCTTTAAAACAAATCGCTGATCGATAAACTTTTTCCCTGTAGCGGCCTGAAAGTCGGGGGATTCCAAGAACCGAAGAAATAGTTCGTAAACCAGCTAAATGGAAAAAAAAATCATTACTTCAAAAGTTAATTTCAGCATTTAGATCTAATTTAAGAAGCATATGAACAGCTAGCTACTTTCAATAGCAAGTAATTATTTGAAAGACCTGGTGAGAAAATCCAGCTATGCCGCTGCAGAACAGTTTCAATCGGCAGGTATAAAAGTAAAAAAACTGTGCCACAGCAAAATAAAGTTATAAAGGTAAACAACTAAGTCTAGCATAAAAATGCTGCACATTTTACAACAACACTAACGAGAAGAAACTCGTGGCAATATTCAAAAATACGCTTTATAACCTGCAAATGAGGCCAAGAGACTTCAAGTGTTGGTTCATCCTCTTCTGGGTCAAACTCAGAATTATCGGAAGGAGGGAGAACCCTAAAGATATTCATAGAAACCATATTTATAACTTCAGGATATATCGCTTCCGTTATAGCTCCTTTTACGGTAGTTATATGGTCAATTAACTCGTTCAGTGCAGCCCGTTTAATCTGTAAACGTCCAGTTCAGTTAAAAACTAAATTAAAAACCGCGCGGGGAAAAGTAAAAACAGACCTTTCAAAATAACATAAATATCAAGATTAATATACCCAAGCTGCAAAATGCAAATCAAATCATATTCAGTAATTTTCGTCAATTAACTTTAAAAGAAAAAAAAACCTCCGTAAGAAATAAAATTAATTTTTAATAAAACAGCATTTGGCAACCGTAAACTTCATCTAAAATACACTAGTTTCAAGAGATAAACATCTTTTAAGTGAGAAAACTATGCATCGCTCCTTCCCAGTACTATAATCATAATTCCTTTAAATTCCTCACTTTTAAAACAGCAACTTATCTAATTTCACAACAAGATTACACAATAGCATAAGAATAAAACAACAAACCTCCTTACTCTTCAGCTGTGCCACTGGGTCATAAAAATCGAAAATTTTTTGGCACTGCTGAAGTTTCTGGATAACCAAATTCGGTTGCTCATTGAAAGGTGCATCTGAAATGTAATGAATTTATCGACATAATTATAGACGTAGATTAACTTGCTAACAGTCATAAACCCAAAATATGAATGAATAAATACTAAACAACGCTGATAGAACTCTGTTCCCAGCAAAAAAACATAAAGGCCCAACTTGAAGTCTGAAGCTCAGAAATAAAAAGGTAGAAACAAAAAAAAAAAATCGTTTTTAATTCTTCCCTGAAATCTACTCGGTAACAACATCTTCGTCTAACTGGTTTGCTTCTCAGTGGCAAAATTTTGAAGATTCATCTCAAAACGTGAAGAAATTTGAAAGAAACTCTGTTATAAACAATGACAGTAAGAAAAAAAATTATTCTTAATGAATTTACAGAATAAATAGAAACATAATTGCACCAGGAGTAATAATCTACAATAAAATTTCCTGTGGCCTGAGAAGATTTAATGAATGAAACTTTTAAAGCTAAAAACTATCTGATAAAGCCAAAAATGATGCTAAATCTATTAAAAATAGTATGACACCGCCAACAATAAAAATAACCTTGAATAACCAACAGATAAACGAAAACAACTGCATTTTTAATAGAAACCTTTAATTAGTGGCAGTTGAACAAGCTCCGGTTCATTTTCTGGATGATACCTGCTGCTGCCAACTAGGCGGCGTCTTCTACGACTAGTACCTCTAAAGGTCTAAGATTAGAACTAAAGAAGTGTAAAAATAAACAGTTTCATAAGTTCCTAAAGAGTTAAAGGTAAACCTTTTAGAGAATGGATCAATTTTGTCAACAAATTGTGTTGCTGTAGCTGACAACTGCTGCCCTCCTGTAGCAGCACCCTGAGTCCTGGGAGGTGGTATATGATGCTGTGGACCGGATACAGCACCTTTATCAGCCATTGTAAAAGTTAATTAATGGTAAAACTATCCCGAAATTCCTAACAAAATTACCACCTGAAAACTTTAAAATACAGAAATGTTATAAATTATCAAGTGTTTTCAAAAACTGTATTGTATTCGATAATTACACAACATTACACAATCTCCTCATAAAATAACGGCTGAACCTTAAAAAATGAACTAGAATAAATTTGAGAAAATAATAACTAAATACTAAAAGATGGTGACAGTTGCACAAAAAAAATATATTTTATCCCATTCAGTCGTCTGATCCATAAAAAGGAAACAGTTCAGCTTCTTATGCATTACAGAAGGCAAAGCCGATCAAAAATGGAAATGAATTAAATCCCTAAATAAATTTAAAGAACTAAAGAGACACACAGTGAAATTAACGGTGTAACTAAAACATCATATTTTATTTCTGACCAGTGCTAAGTGGTTTGAGCAACTTCAAAAATGTAGATCCTTGTGAAACCATAACGTCGAATGAAGCATCAGAAACTTACACTGTGCAGTGTCAGTTATCCCGGTAGCAACAAGAAAAGAGTAAATTATTCGCAAGTACAAAAAACAAATAAACTGCCTTTCCATCAAAAATTGCCGGTAAACAGGTGTAAAAGAAAAAAAAAGCAAGACTAATTTAGTCCAACTACTCCAGATTCCAAATATCACGTCCTAATTTAAAAAGGTACGCAATACCAATACAGCTTCTAAAGCTTAAAAAAATGTTTTATTCGATCTGAGGAATGAAAAATACTGAAGCAAAACTTAAAAAATATGAATAAATTACAAGAGAAATAGAAAAAGTCTACATCCTTCTGCTTCAAAACAGATGATGAGTCGAAAAATAAACAGAATTAATGAAAGTAAAAACAATAAAAACAAGAAAGTAATTACCCTGTAAAAATAATCAAAAAAACAGTATTGGCAAAAGTTGACTATCAGTTAAGTGATTAACCAAAAGCAATAATTTTGCTACATTAACTATACGACAACAAGAATTTATGCTTCATAGAAATTAACTTTGTTAAAAAGTCAATTGCTCCCTTGTTAGCATAATATACATAAACAAGTAAAAAAATAAACAAACAAACAG